ACGTTTTCTGACTAAAAGCAACCAAAAAGCCATTTGAAAGTGGTTAAGCAAATAATAATAATGTTGATGATGATAAAAATCTGCAGGGATCCCCAGACCAATACAATTAGAGTGCCTCCTCTATTTTAAAACCCACGTGCCGCCACTGGTACTGTGTATGGTCTTCTATAGAAAGTGTTTTAGGTATACATTACAAATGACCAGAGTTGGGTATAACGCATTGCACAGTAACTTGCTGTATTCTGCCTTAACTGTATTCTAATTACTTTACTTTTCCTGGTAACGCAGTAAAGTAATGCGCTACATTTTAAATTTATATAATTTGATTACAGTTACTAATGTCAATAAAATTGTTACTTGAGTTACAAATGCATTGTTCCTTAATTTACAAATGCATTGTTAAAAAATATGAAGTAAAAATCATGTTTTGTGCGTCAGTATGCCCTTTAATAAATCTAATAAAAATAAATTTTATAAATGCAGACGAGTCCTACAACAATTAGATGCAATGAAAGGTTGCCTATCATATTTCAAAATGTTGCACGACATATTTTAGTCTGGCATTGTAGACTGGGAAAAGTTCAACAAGTGAATGTGTACAAGTTTGTGTCACAGTAACAGAGAGAAAATGGCGCAAATCAAAAGATCCGTCAGACCGGAGTATGTATTAGTCTTTGCTTTCATCTTTCTCTGCTGAAGTCCATACTGCCAAATCTTCATACTTCCACAACAAGATCAACAGCGCTCCAGACACACGTAATCTCTTCAAGACATTCAATTCTCTACTCTGTCCCCCTCCACCACCTTCCACCACTTCTATAACAGCTGATGATTTCGCCACATTCTTCACAGACAAAACTAGAGCAATTAGTTGTCAATTCTCAGCCCCACACACACTGCTAAAACTCCCATCTCTCCTTCTGTCCCCTCACTGAGGCAGAAGTATCCAAACTTCTCTCCAGCCATCCTACAACATGCCCTCTAGACCCAATCCCCTCACACCTTCTCCAAGCTATCTCTCCTGCACTTTTACCAGCACTCACACACATCATCAACACATCTCTCCAGGCACCTTCTCCACTGCATTCAAGCATGCTCGGGTAACCCCACTGCTCAAAAAACCTACACTAAACACTTCACTTACAGATAGCTACAGACCTATCTATATCCTTCCTTTCATAGCGAAAACACTTGAACGAGTTGTTTTCAACTAGGTATCATTGCTTCTTTCACAGAACAACAAACTGGATGCTAACCAGTCAGGTTTCAGGAGTGGCCATTCAACTGAGACTGCGCTACTGTCAGTCACAGAAGCCCTGCGGATGGCGAAAGCTGACTCTAAATAATCAGTTCTTATTCTGCTGGATCTATCTGCTGCATTTAACACTGTCAATCATCAGATCCTCCTGTCCACCCTCTCATCACTGGGCATCACGGGGATTCCACTACGCTGGTTTGAATCCTATCTCACTGGTAGGGCTTTCAGGGTGTCCTGGGGAGGAGTGGTCTCCAAAGCACATCAGCTGGTCACGGGTTCCTCAGGGATCAGTTCTTGGACCCCTCCTCTTCTCCATATACACTACATCACTGGGTCCCATCATACAGGCACATGGCTTCTCCTACCATTGCTATGCTGATGACACACAACTCTATCTTTCATTTCAACCAGATGATCCAACGGTAACTGCACGGATCTCAGGCTGCCTGGCGGACATCTCGGCATGGATGAAAGAACATCACCTACAGCTCAACCTGGCAAAGACTGAGCTTCTTGTCTTCCCTGCCACTCCAACTCTACAGCATGATTTCACCATCCAGCTAGGTTCTTCTACAATTACCCCATCAACTTCGGTCAGAAATCTTGGTGTAACCTTTGATGACCAGCTGACCTTCAAAGACCACATTGCAAAGACTGCCCGATCTTGCAGGTTTGCATTGCACAACATCAGAAAGATCAGGCCCTTTCTAACGGAGCATGCTGCACAACTTCTTGTACGGGCCCTTGTCATCTCTAGGCTTGACTACTGCAATGCTCTTCTGGCTGGACTTCCATCAAGCACAATCAAACCTCGACAAATGATTCAGAATGCAGCGGTACGACTGGTCTTCAACGAGCCCAAAAGAGCCCACGTTACACCTCTCTTTATCTCCCTGCACTGGCTACCGGTTGCAGCTCGAATCAAGTTCAAGACATTGATTCTTGCGTATAGAACAGCCACAGGCTCAGCACCCCATCTTCCCACCCCTGTCCGGAATGCTGAATCCCTGACAATTTTCAAACTCACCTCTTACTTGACTTCATCCTAAAGACTTAATCTTTCTCTTTATTTATTCCTTCCCTTTCTAGCTTGTACTTATTTGAACAATGCCTAAAACTTGGTATTACAAGCACTTTCTTGGTCTGTTTGCCTTTTTAAGAAGAATCGGTTTATGTATTCCCCAATCGTAAGTCGCTTTGGATAAAAAGCGCTTTGGCGTTTTACATATTCGCACATCTCAAGCGTGGTTTGGCGTGGACTATTATCTTATAGCGTGCGATGTGCGTGGGCGTGTTCACATTATAAGTGAGCTCAGACGGGAAAGACTGTACCTCGCGTTGGTTTCATACGGATTATTTTATCAGAGAATATTTGTTTTCAACACTACTTACTTCATTTAAAAATAGACACTTCAAGCTTTCTTTAGATATGTCTCATGTCATTTTCATTCATTTTAGTGACTCGTTTCAGGAAGATATTCACAGAGACTGAGAATGCAGAAAGCGCATCCTATTTGTTTTCTTTATTTTACAAAACCAAAAAAAAAAAAAGTTTTGTTGATATTGGGAGTGTATACAAATAATACTTATGTAATTTTCAGTCAATATTAAATTAATGAAAGAACTATGAGTTGCACAATCAATTTTTACAATGAATAACATCACAACATGTCTATTGACTGTTGAATATTTGCTTGTATTTGAGTTTTTGAGTAATCTCTGTGGCCCTAATAAAAGTTAATTTTCATTGACAAATGTAGTTCATTGTATAACAGTAAAATAATGAGGCCTACAAGATTTTGGCTATGGCACTAGAAAATGCATCCAACAAAAATATTAAATTGTCTTCTCATACAAAAATGAACCATGGTTTTATTATATTAAAAGTGGAGTAAAAAGGTGTTTGTTTTTTGGCGTATTGATTACCAGTTGTATAACCACAGTTTTAATATAAATACCATGGTTAAGCTATGGTTAGTGTAGCAGAACCGTGGTTAATTTGTGGTCACCATGGTTTAACTATAGTAACCATGATTTTTTTGTGTTTTTTTTGGTTGTAAAACCATGGTTAATTTGTTGTTTTTGGGAAAAAATAAATGGTTCTAAATTGTTACCAGGGGCGGAGCTACTGGTGGGCCTGACCCAGTCAGATCCATGAAAATACATTATTTTTTAACGTTTAATAATTCTTGAATAATTATTTTAAATTTGAATTGTTTTCTAATGCATTAGAACTATCCTAATATTATTAAAAATGTGTTAATTCGTGTAGTCCGTTACGTTTCGACAGTAGTTATGCTCTTCTTCGCGGCAATATCTCTGTCTGTCTGGTCTGGATTGCAACTAGCAGTGCTCTTTTTATGTTTAGCCATAAAAATGGCTAAACGGCTATCGATGACAAAGTTTTTTTAAAAACCATGTCTAGACAACGCTTTGCTGGCTGACGCTGAAAAAAACAGGATCGTGAGCCACCAGGGAATGAAGACGAGTCGAATGCTAATGACAGTATGCATGCTTCAGCCTGCAATGATCTTCTCTATCCAATGGCGTCAGAATCAGTAAATCTAAATCGTGGACCTCCAGATCTGTCTGCGATAGAGGAACCAGCCACTCAACCAATGCTGGGAAAATTTCCGATGACCGTAATTGATGGAAAGTCAAGCTCCTTCAATTCTAATTGGTACGAACCGTTTAAATGGATTGAATATAGCAAAACAAGAGATGCCATTTTCTGTAAAGCATGCAGACATTTTCCTGAGGTACATACAGAGTTTACTTTCACAATAGACGGTTATAAAAATTGGAAACGCCTCCGACAGGCCTGTAACAAACATGAGTCTAGTAAATCGCACGCATTTGCGCTTTCTAAAATTGATGCATACAGGAAAAGCCATGCAACGCATAGCCATGGGACTGTGTTAAATCAACTGCACGGCGATCAGTGTTGCCAAGTCCGCGGTTTTCGTGCGAAATTGTGCTACTCTTAACACTGTTTCGGCGGGT